GTTTTTTAATATATTTTAGTCATTCTATAAATTTATATATTTTAGTCATTCTAAAAATTATCATTGTTATGAATGAAAATTATTGTTTCAACAGTTAAAATTATGCTTCAAAAAGTAAAAATTAGAGTGAGAACAGTTATAATTACTATGATGGAAAGTAAACATAAAACAGATAAGCTCTACAAAAATTATTACATATAGTAGCAATATTTTATTTATGAATGATCAATACATTTATTAATGTTACTATCAATTACCCTTGAACTCTATAACCCAATAACTAAAAGATTTTCACACAGATGGCGCGTGATTTCTAAATCTCACTTTCTACCCTGTACTTACGTCATCGTGAAAACTTATCAAGAGCCACTATATTAACGTATGTATATACGTGGACGAGTGTTTTGTAAATGTTTGACTAAAAAGGGTTTACCACGCCCGCTGAGGGAGTAATATACAATAGTATAATGAAACGTCTGCTTAATACGTACATGCTTTGCGTATCGTAAACGTAGACTGCTATGAGACATTCTGTTTATAATCATCGTGGAGGAAACGAGCGAAAAGAGTGGTTTGATCGAAATGTCATTTGTTTATCACACTCCTTTGATTGAATCGTTCAGCTGACAAAAACTGTATATAGATTCATACATCATAGATTTGGGTGTATTTTTCAGCTCGTTGCTCGTAATAAAGAAATTTATTCATTTAATTAATTTCGATTTTTCATTATTAAAAATTTTGTTGATAAAATAATTTAAGTGTTTATTTTTCAGTACTAACTTTTGATGATAAAATAAAATTTGTTTTGATTTTTTGTAGGATTATCGATGTTTAAAAAAAAAGTTTTTAATATAAAAAAACCTTTTACTAAATTAGAAATGCAAAAATTTGTTTATTGCGAGTAACATTTAGTGATCAGAATTATCAACATTATTTTCCGTAGTTGTTTATTTTTAACACTGTCAATTCAGATTATCCACTTAGCCCAAAATGAAAATCAAACGTAGTACGTTAACAATAACAGGTTAAGAGATTCATCACGAGTCCTCCGTCCATACTCTTGCATGTTTATTTGTTCGGGAATGTTCGAATCGCTTTGTTTAAGCCGCTATATCTCACCAGTCAGATTTCTTATTGTCAAACAGCTTAGTGGTCCGATGAATTACGAAAATAAATTTCGTATCTGAAGAAATAAACATTTGCGTAAAATTTGAGTATTTAATATCGCACGCTATAAATGTTTACAGCACTAAAACTCTGTGTATTTTTAATGTGGTCGTAATTTGTGTGTGTGTGTGTGTTTTTTTTTTTTTAACGTCAGTCAAAATATATACTCATCATTTGGAACTATATGAAGTTATACACAAATACAAACAGTCATTATGATTTTGTAAACTTTTAAATCCTTCAAAATAAACATTGTCTCTAAAAATGAAATTTCTGTTAAAAATTGTTTATACATAGTTACTTGTAATAAAATATCCGGAGAAATTTACTATTTTTATCTAGAATTTATTTCAGCTATTTTGGATTGCTTGGAATTTTATTTTACATTTAGAATTTTTTTGTCAAATACTTGAAAAAAATTTTTTTTTTTTTTT